GTGAAATTTGGCGTAACTCTGCAACCAGAGCAGATGGTATGCTGAAACTTTCTGAGCGCCACCCAGAACCGTATTTGACCAACCGCGAGCAAAGAAGGCGCTCACGTCGTCACTCACGTACGAGCACGTAAATTTGACGTAACTCTGCAACCAGAGCAGATGGGATGCTGGAACTTTCTGAGCGCTACCCAGGACCATGTTTGAGCAACTGCGGGCGAAGAATGTATTCACGTAGCCACTCACGTACGAACACGTAAAATTTGACATAACTGTGCAACCGAAACATCTAGAGCACTGGGTCTTCTGGGCATGGATTGGGAGTCACTGTAATAATTTCTAACAGTTGTGGTGGCCAGTTCCAATTCTTTTAGCTAGAAACATCTGCCAGGAGGTACGTGCCGCTGGCGAAAAAAACCTGCGGGAGGAACTGCGTAAAAAACGCATCCTCGTACCGGCAGCCGGTACGCTTTCTACTAGGTTTCTACTTTTCTCCTGTTTTTTCCTCTTTATATACACCTCCCTTACATTGGCACTCATCAACATGGATGCTACAAGCGGCTTGCCTACTGGCATTTGACGTACGTTTCGTCTCGTAAAGGAATTACCCAGCTTAACGTTTTTCTAAAATTTAGCACGGCTTTAGCTGTTTCTAGAAGCTTTTCGTGTTCTCTGAGTATTATCACGCTGTAGCCTCCATAAGGTGCCAAAGCACATATCTTAGTAACATAAAATGCACAACATCAATTGCCCAGGAGATCGTGCTAATTTTATCTATGAAGCAACATATGTTTTAGGAGGGAAATAATGCAAAAACTTTAAAAAAATTCGGATGTTGTTGGAAGCATCAAAAAATTTTTCAGCTAAATTTCGGTTTTTATGCGTTTTTTACTTCCATGCAATGCAAAAATGCATATTGCCGAGGGGTTGTTTGTTTGTGTCTGTATGTTTGTCTGTACCGATTCTTCATCTCCAGACCTGTGAAAGTTACAAGACTGAAGCTTTGGGAATTAAATCTAGATGCATGCACGAGTCTTTGTTCCTAGAATGAAAGCTCTTCCCAGGTGGTTCCCAAGTACTGACCCGTCAATCTTTTTGGTAGATATACCGCTAACTCGGAAACCAGAAAAGCCAGAAATCTGAAATTTTAAGTGGATGTCCCCCGTCCACGTTAAATTTATCGGGATCAAATCCCCCAGGTGTGCGTAGTTTCCACGTACGGGTCGATGATAATTTTTGGTGGATAATTTGCTAACTCGGAAACCAAAAAAGCTAGAGTGTTGGAATTTTAAGGAAATATTTTCTCACAGTCGTGGCGACTGTTTTCAATTCTTTTAGCTAAAAGTATTTGCGAGAAAAAACAGTGCCATTAGCAACAAAAACCTGCGGGGATCTGTGCAAAAAACGCATCTTCGCATCGGCAGTTGACGCGCTAACTAATTGTTTAAAAATTATAAGTTAATTTTTAGGCCGATGTTATCGAGCGCCGTAGCGCTGCACCATTTCCTGCCGAACGCACTGGCCAAAAACTTTTCATCAGGGTTTTACAGGTTAGTTGAAGATTGGAACAGTTTTGCGGATATTCAGTGAAGAATTTGCTTTAAAAGTTTCGTAATTGCTGAAAAAAAACGAAATTAGATCGAACGAGGCAGAGAATTGACGTATGCGGGTACCTACAGATTGCAGCACATCTTTGGTAAAAGTGTTGTTAATTTAGATCTGGCATAAGCAAATGTATAAAGCTGATTATTGAGTGGGGCACTCTTGCAATATTAAACGAAGTGAAAATCCGAGTGAGAGGATGGGATTCTGTTGAACGCCTGTATTTAGAAAACAGATAAAAGTAGCCCAGAACTGCGAGCCGCAGAGAATTTGCATCAATGGCGAGAAGAAACGTGACTATGAAACAACAGTTGATCAAGATCCTTGTCAGCAGCTTTCCAATTTAGAGCCGCAAAAGCTAGGAGGCTAAAATTTTAGGGAGTGTCCACGCCGGTGTGACGCCGCAAGTTTAAGTTCGGCCTTCACCAGCCCGCGAGTAATACGCACCGCCTCGTGAAAGTTTTAGCAGGGAGTCATGAATTATGGTTCAAAAATTGAAGATTTTGTTAATTTTCTGTAGATTTTGTTAATTTTTATGCTTTTAGCTGCGGTTAGAACCTTCGTTTGAACCCATATACGGTATCATTGCTTTGTATGATGCGAAAGAAAAACGAAAGGTAAATTAACTTTATTTGGATTGAATTTTTGCGATTTTTTTATCCAAACTTTTGGCACCCATGTGTGCCATAGCGAACGGGCGGGGCTGATTAGTGATAAAATGAAGTAATGAAAAGTTTATGGTGGGCCACCAAACTCTTAAAGTATGTGAAATTAATGTCGATTAAACAGGGTAAAACACAATCCAGTACAGTGATTTGTGAAGCATCGTTGGTCAGAGCAGTTGGAAAAGTAGCCAGTTTCGTTATATGAAGAACGAGAGTCTTACTGTGAATTACAGTTTGTCCAATCATCCCAAATAAGTATATGCGGATCCAGAACGGACTCCTGGGGAGAGAGAGGGGTGGGGGAGGGGGACGGAGGCGACGATGGGGGATAAGGGGAGATTGGAGCTTCTGGGAGGAACGGCGGAAGAGGGGAGGGGGGGAGGTAGGTGTGGGGGAGAGCCCCCTCTCATCCTGGAATATGCAAAAACTAGGAATAGGATCGTAACACTGCTACTTAGAGAATTACTTTAGCTTTATTTATGGTCTGGGCTTCTGCAACACTGGTGCTTGCGCCGATGGCGGAAGGGTATCGCGTAATATATCAAATAATGATTAATGGTTTTTGTTAAAAATAGATTAAAGATGAACTGCATGATAGTAACGCAGTTGATCTTTAATCTATTTTTAACAAAAACCGTTAATCATTATTTGGTATATTACGCGATTAGGGGGAGGGGAGGAAGAGAGGCTGTTGCTCCCTTTCCCCTTTTCTCTAGGATCCACCTGTGCCAGTGGAAGAAGTTTCACATGAATTCTGGGGTATGCAGCTCAAGATCGAAAGATCTGAACAAAGTTGTTGTCTTGCCCATGAAAATATCCCAGCAACATCACTAATATCGGATCCTCACACTGTTTGCCCCGGCGGTCTTAGTGTTGGGATTTTCACATGGTTTTGCATAATCCGTTAGTCCGTTTTGCCTCTCTGCAGTGGTATTTGTACGTTTTTGCCTGAAATTATATTCAAAGTACAGGTCCAGGCGATTTTGTTTTTTGTGTAGTTCAAAAAAAAAAAAACTCATAAGAAATTTGCAGTACACTATTTGCCCTGACAGTCTTAGTATTTTTGGGATTTTCACATGGTTTTGCATAACCCGTTGGTCTGTTCTGCTTCTCATTTTTGCCTGAAATTACATCCAAAATACAGGTCCAGGCGATTTTGTTTTTTGTGCAATTCAAAAAAAAAAAAAAACTCATAAGGAATTTATTGTAGTAGTAGCATTAATTTTTTAAATTTTTCAGATCTCAGAAAATTTTTATTTCGATATGAATGACGATTCGTTGCGTTCTATGGTTTCACAGCATGTTACTTGTGTCGATGAAGCAAGCAAATGCACTCAAGCTATTTTTAGTATTAGCGAATCACTCAGCGACATTTTCATTGTCGTAAAAGTTAGGCTTTCAATGTTTGTATGTTTGAGTGTAATTTTATAACCGTTTTTCTGGCTATAAAACTCCAAATGCTGACAACTTTTCTAATTGTTTTGACCAATACTGCATCGCCTGGTAGTCATCTTCTGACGATCCTAACGTTCGTTTCGTCTCCTGAAGAGATTGCTAGCTGATTGGTTCTCCAAGTAGAATTAGTTGGCAAGGTTTTAGAGGTGCCCCAGTTATACGTTGAGGATTGTTGAGTCCGAAAGTTGAGTTGACGACGACGAACACAGGGTAGTTGAAGTGACGCAGAAGGATAAGTCGGTGATTAGCCAACGAAAAACAAACCGACAAAAGCAGGGTTATTTATACAAGGAGTAGAGCACAATAAAAAACACTAAACGACGTAACCCAATCTATATGCAGTCACAAGAACATTACAATAAATTCTGCAGAACAGTCTATAATAGAGATCTCCCAAGAACTTCTGAAGATCATGATCAAAGATCACCGAGGTCTCAACAAGGATCATTCATAGATTTTGCTGCTGCACTAACTACACATTGTAGATGTTTGGTTTCATTTTTTGCAAAATAAAAACATAGTTTTCAGCTGGAAAAAGTGCTTCAAGCATGCGAAGTAGCTGATGCCTGTGAGCCATATTTGAAGGAAGAGAAGAACCGGGAACGTCTGATGCAATCAGCCCAGCAGTACTGCGAACGTCTCGGTGCATATCGAATGCCACTCGGATGGGTTGCTATTGATTTGAATCGAATTTTAAGTGGATCACATCCACAGGATAAAATTGATCCAATGACTGCAAGTGCCGTTACTGGTATGCTTTTGAAATTTTCAAGCTTTGTGAATAACTCGTGAACTTTTAAAATCATAAAAACTATCACAAATCTTTTTTGCGGTGGATATTGGACAAAATCATTTTTGCGATGGATGTGGCCTTTAACAATTGTAGGCATTTTTCCAGTAATTTCAGGCCTTTACTTTAATGTTAATCTCGCCTATATGGCTCATAGAAATTCCCTTAAAAGTTGTGGTTTGTATATGTAGAGTGAGAATTGTTGAAAATGAATGAAAATACATATTTTATAATTGCTTTTTATATTGCTTTGGCACATGCCGAGGAGTCAAAACCGCCATCAGCTTGCTTCTAAACAATCCACAAAGAAGAGGGCCATCAACAGCCTTGTCAGCGGTGGTTGCTATTATTTAGACTACCTTCTCAACTGCCTCTACTGTTCAAACAGAATTGTGACTTTTGTATAAGACAGTGACAGGCATTGAATTTTAGAAACGTTACACGGAAATATTTCTCTGATCCGTAGCGCTATCACAAGATTCCATCTTTCGCGCGTTTTTTACGTTAAGTTCTGAAATATAAAGAAAAATTAGAAAATGGGATTATTTGGAGTAAAAGTGAGTAAAAACCTACACCAAATTTGCTTATTTTGACTTTGAGTAAAAATTCAAAATAAGCAAATTTGTTTGGAGTTAAAATCTACATCAAATTTGCTTGCTGTACTTTGGCCTTGAATTGATCTGTTTTGACTTCCAGTCGTTTCGATCTTTTACCTAATTTGGTTGTTTTTAAGCCAGAGCTCTCAATGCATGCCAGACACACCCTTACACACATATATACGTATATACGTACATACATACATATATACG